TAGTGTCACATTAGTGTAGTAGTAATAGCACAATTTTAGTATATAGTAGTAATAAGTAGTATATAGTGTCACATTAGTGTAGTAGTAATAGCACAATTTTAGTATATAGTAGTAATAAGTAGTATATAGTGTCACATTAGTGTAGTAGTAATAGCACAATTTTAGTATATAGTAGTAATAAGTAGTATATAGTGTCACATTAGTGTAGTAGTAATAGCACAATTTTAGTATATAGTAGTAATAAGTAGTAGTGTAACATTHGTATAATAGTAATGTATATAGTACAATATTAGTGTATATAATAGTAATAAGGACCATTACATGTTGCAGCATACATTAATCTGTGAACAGTAAACACTAATCAAAAGGAACTCTTAATTCATCAGCTTTCAGTTGTAGATTATGTWCACACATGATTGCAGTTACCTTTTTGCTAAGCTGAATATTGATAAAAGTCAAATCCTCTAGAGTCAGAAGGATCCGATTGGGACCTTTAATCAGCTGGATCTGTTGAAGCCTRCTCCTGTTGACGGGAGACAGAAAAGTTCTTTAAAGCAGTCCATGTGATGATCGTATGCATAAATTGCTGATTAATATCCTGACCAATTTATGCAGATCAATTTTGCACTTTAAAAAAAACAATCAATGTGGTTCCCAATGAATCTAACATGCATGTTTTTGAATCTGGAGAAAATCTGTGTGTGCACAAAGAGGCAGAAGTTACATAACGACTGCTTAATTAAGATAAGCATTTACGTTTTGGCACATAAGTCAGAAAAGACGAGATTCTGATTTGGAGATTGCAGGTTGGAACCTCCAGACTGACACATAAGATTTGAGTGAGAAAGATGAAGCACCTAGATCGATCTTCACCCTTATTTGCCCCACTGTGGGCCCTTCAGCAAGGCCGTTAACCCTCAAGCAGCTGCCTGGAAGCCTTAAATGGTAACCCTCTGCTCTGTGTGCTCACGTGTGTTATGGGAAAAATACAGAGAATGGATTTCCAAATTGAGGATTAAGAAAGTATTAAATGGAAAATATAGGTATATTGGTGAAAAATAAGAAAAGTGGTGTTGTCCATCAACCTGATTTCTATTTCTATTACTATAAACCCATAAAAACTCATTAGTCGACCAAAAACTACACAAAAACGGTGTTCAAAAGCTGTACCTGATGTAAAAGCTTATGACGAGCCCTCCAACACCCAGACTGAGAATGACAGCCAAAACTATTATGATGTATGACACCTCCACACCTGAGGACGAGAACATTGAACTTGACATGGTGAGAAAAAAAAATGATGGGTGAATTACTATTTAAAGACAGGAACATTAAAAGACACATTTAGATTGAGCCCTAATAGCCTCTCAACCTCCGGTGCAGATGGCATTGTCGTCAAACCAGCAGAGGGAGTCGGCCGTCGGAGGAGATCCTCCTGGAAAATGAATGGACCTCCCTGCAAAACGAAGCACTCCTGATGTCAAGTCTACTATGTAGGCCTGGTAAAGGTGACTCCCCTTGCTGTCAGAGTCTAGAATGACGTAGTTGGTCCTCACTACCCCACTCGTGTCRACGCGGACCCTCTGGTTGAAGCCGTCAAAGGTTGTGTTCTTTGTGAAGTAGGCCAGGTTGGAGCCTGACAAATTCACTCCTGCTTTCCTGGTGTTGTGGATTGACTTGGCCAGCAGGTATATGCTATTGTAGATGGTCCCAAATAGTGGGTGAACCTGTAGGTTACAGTAAAACAACACATTGTYGTAATCTGCACTTAGAGATGATACYGCTTGTAGCTACTTTAATGTCTGTGTTTAGTGGAGCAAAAACAGGCAACTTGGAATCCAACCCTTAGCAAAAACTGTTCTTGATGTTCATTTTAATATGTATACTTGAGTATAAGTTTAAGTATATAAATATACTACACACCATGTACTTCTAGTGTGCTAGAAAGTATTCTGATTTCATGCTTATAAAAGTATAATTTAAGTATACTGTTATAAGGTCTTTTTGTTTACCATATTATACATTGAAGTTCATTTATCTATATAATACTAGTGTACTACTTATAAACTTGTCACATTTTCGTTTGTTGAAATATCTATACTTCCATCGCYTTAGTTGTATGTGGCAAACATTTGGAGCAGCAAACCCAATTTCATTGTAATGCAAATTATAATGACAATAAAGACGATTCTGATTCTTCTTTTATACTTCTAGTCCTCATTTCAGTTTATTTAAGTATACTTTAAGTACACTTTTATGAATTACTTAAACTGTAATTCTATTTTTTGCCATTTTGATTGTTAAATTATACTTGTAGGTTTTGCTTAGCACACTACTTGAATACTATTAACATGCTGAGATATACTTCTTAAAATATTCTTAAAGATATTCCATTCTGTATGTACACTATACTGTAATATGTTTACAAAATCACAAGACAGAATCTTGAGAACAACTTCGACTTATTTATATAACAGTTAAAAGGTCTTAGTATTAATGTACTTTGTCTTAAACTTCTCTTTATACTTTTCAGTATAAGGCCAAGTATAGTTAGGTATATCAAATATAGTGTATAAAATGTATACTAAAAGTGCACTGCTTCAMTTTTAGTATAAATAAGGTTTACTGATAGTACACTTAAACTAATTTTTGCTAAGGGAATCTTATTTATATTTCACATAAAAAGTWTTCACACCCTTGAATGAAACAATCTATCAGTTATTGTTACTCAATTGAGCCCAGTGATTAGTTTATCAAATCTGCAACTGTGGCACAATACAGTTTGGTCTAATGATAGTTTATTTTCTTGAGAATAAATATAAATACACTTTTTATGTTTATTAAAGCAAAGGACTAATTGAAAAATGTGAAAAAAGGTTATTTCTTTGCAACAGAACACATTTATTATTGCTGTTTTAACAAGAGTCGATTCCTAAACAACAACAACAAAAAAACTTGACAGTCTACAAGGAGTGTTGTGTGTTGTAATAGGTCAAATAATTTGAAATGTTAACAACATTGTAATTCAAGAAAGATAAAAATAGAAGCGTGTGTTTTCTGTTTCCATGATAGAAAAAGACCAACTAAAACAAGTATTACTAAATGCAGGAAAATGACAGGGTGATAAATAACAAGTAGAAAGTAATTATGTCAGARGTGATGTGAGGCTGAAACACTTCCTACCTGTTCTGCCTCCACRGGCAGCGTCACCTCCCCGCTCCACTTGGCAGCAGTGAGCGCCTCGTTGAAGGACTGCAGCTCGGAGGCCATGGTGATGGTGAGCACGGCATCGTAGGCCTCCCTCAGGACGCTGTCGTTTTGGAGAGGGGAGTAGGAGACGTTGGTGTAGGGCACGCTGTAGTGCAGGGTGTCATAGGTCACGAACACATACTGCCCTGAAGTCATCCCCATCTTATGTGCTTTGAGAAGAAAAACAGCCTGAGGTTCACCTCCAACCAGGATAGAGTGCATGCACATTATAATGACTGAAAGAGACACAAAAACACAAAAATAAAATACAAACTATAGAGAATCATAGCTATGCATGTTGTATACCTTTATATTTCCAACATATTTACAGTGGGGTGCGAAAGTTTGGGCAGCCTTGTTAATTTTCCTGATTTACCTTTAWAAATCATTGATTGTTTGGATTAAAAATATCAGTTAAGGATATTATATAGGAGACAAAATGTGATATTTGAGAAACGAAATGAAGTTTAAATGATTTACATAAAATGTGCAATAATTGGTTAAACAAAATTAGGCAGGTGCATAAATTTGGGCACTGTTGTCATTTTACTGATTTCAAAACCTTTAGAACTAATTATTGGAACTCAAATTTGGTTTGGTAAGTTCAGTGACCCTTGACCTCCATATACAGGTGACTCTAATTATGAGAAAGGGTATTTAAGGGGGGCAATTGTAAGTTTTTCTCTTCTTTGCATCTTCTCTGAAGAGTTGCAGCATGGGAGTCTCAAAACAACTTTCAAATGAGTTGAAAACAAAGATTGTTTACCATCATGGTTTAGGGGAAGGATACAGAAAGCTATCAGAGATTTCAGCTTTTTGTCTCCACTGTGAGAAACATTGTGAGAAAACGGAAGACAACAGGCACAGTTCAAGTGTAGGCTCCAAGTGGCAGACCAAGAAAAATCTCC